TCAAGGTTTAAAACAACAGTTTGGGAAATGTTAAGTATTTTATTTAAAAAAATGTAAGAATAAACATGATGGGAAAAGGCTGTTGGGATGTTTCCATATTTATTATTTTCTTTTATTTGTGTAGACTTAATTCCATTGCTTCACCAAACTATATAGAACAAGCCAAAAGTTCCTGGTATGAAGGAAAATTCTGAGCAAAATGAGCACCAACTTGAACCATGATTTTCTACAGTAAACATAGTTAATCAGCAATACAATTTAAACATTCAAAATATGATTTTGTGCATATTAAAAATATGCACTTATATTTATAGCATTTCCGTTTAAAAGAACAATTTCCAGAGATAACTGTATTCTTAGCCGCTTTGTATGATCACATTTAATAGACATTTCTAGAAAAAGTGACATTAAAAACCCATTTGATTTTCCCCTTTGAAAGTCTAGTCTGAAATATTAGGTAGTTTTAATTTTATTTTAACAATTTGTACATTTTATGGATTCCCTTAATAACCTTTTTCTTTTGACAACCCTGGCTATTTCCAGGCTCCAAAGGCAGAGATGGGATATAATTATATCATGGTAGAATGTGGGATGAGAATGCATATATTTGTTAAAAATAATTTTTGTACTGTGTTTTACATTACCAATTTTAAAATTCTTTACCCCATCATTAGTGTACATAAAACTTGATCAATATTTTAATTTTGCCAGGTATATTCCTTTCCAATTCTGATATTTAAAAACCTATCTATGTAGCTTATAAAAATTTGAATATACTAATTCAGTTTTAAATGAAAGTTTTGTTGCCTGAGCTTTTTGGAAATTCCTTTCTTAATACATAGTAATTATCAATTAAGCACATGAAAAATATACAGATTGAATTGAAATGCGCCCCCCCACCCCAAACTAGAATAATGCTCATAAAAAATAGTATGTATTTCTCATTGAAAAATTCTGATTAAACAATATAGTGTAGTTCTGCAACTTAATATATGTCAGCATGATGCAAACAAACTCTTTTTTTTTTTTAATCCTCTGGTATTTGAAAGAATTATTTGGGAGTTATCAACAAAATTACACAGCTGTTTAAAAACAAAACCAATTTTATTTTATTGTGGAGTAAAAAAATATTTAAAACAATTTTCCAATTCACTTCATTGGCTCCAAAGTCGAATTTTTCCTTTCCTGCTCACTCTTCTGAAATTTTAGCAAACTTGTTTTTCCTTTCCCTAACGTGCAAGAATTCTTCACATTTATACCTTAAAAAATAAATTGGGCCGGGACCGGTTTGGCTCAGTGGATAGAGCGTCGGCCTGCGGACTGAAAGGTCCCGGGTTCGATTCCGGTCAAAGGCATGTACCTTGGTTGCGGGCACATCCCCAGTAGGGGGTGTGCAAGAGGCAGCTGGTCGATGTTTCTCTCTCATCAACGTTTCTAACTCTCTGTCCCTCTCAATTCCTCTCTGTGTAAAATCAATAAAATATATTTTAAAAAAATAAATAAATTGGGAGACATGTGTTCATCTACACTATACAAGTAGAAAGGGTGGGAAGCAGGCAGTAATAAAATGGATTGTCTGTAAAGAACTTAATAAAACGGACTCCAAGTTAGCCTGCTTTTGATGATCACGATGCACCAGTGACAGTGCATTCCTCCGCCCTGGGGTGGAAGGCTTCTTACTGGTATGCCTCCCCCACCTCTTCGGCAAGCCATTGAATGAGCCCCTCTCCCTGCAATTTCTCTTCTGGTTTCTTATGTCTTCATCTCAAGGGAATTACATACTTGATGAAAAAGCACTGTCTTCATACTGTTTCAATGGCTTTAGTACTTACTGATCTTCTTTATGCCCAAATCAATGGTTTTCATATCTAGTTGCTAGGAAAGCAAGAATAAAAGGACTACTGAATCCACAGATTATAAAAGAAAGTGAGACATTTAAATAAAAGATCAGGCTACTGTTTTTTCATAGTTTAATTAAAACTAAAGTATAGGTGAAGGAAAAGTCCTAAAAATAAGGGTTGCATTTGGGAAAATATAAAAGGTACACTTAATTTAGATGAACAAGATAAGAGAGAACTGCCATATAACATTTAAATTTAGTAAAAATGGTAATAAATGCACATAAATTGAATTTAAAAAGGGAAAGGCTAATCAATATTCCAGCTGGTATCTTTCTTATTCAAAACTCAAATACTTAGCTGAAGGTATTTTGGAAGCAAAGTTATTAGATTGAAGAAATCAGTAATGAGTATACCACCACATAGTTCACAAAGTACCGTCCCATAAAATACATGAGCTGATGTGAGCACTCAACTATCCTGTGAGGCTTTAACAGTGGGAGGTAGTACATACATTTGAGGCAAAATTATTGACTCCACCACATCATAATCATGTGAACTTGGGAGTATTATTTAACTGCTTTGTACCTTGGTTTCTCCATATGAAAAGTAGGATGACTGTCCCTACCTCATAGCTATTGTGGAAATGAGAAAACAGATGTAACACTTTAAAATAGCCAGTCCTTGGTAAGTACTCAATAAATGCTGCTATTATTTTTTCGGGTATAAAAACATACTTTGAGAGATCAAAAGACCTATGATTAGTAAAGAGCAAATTAGAATTATAATTCTAGAATGGATATATCCCTACTACTCTATATTACCGATGAAGATATAATTTTAGAGTATAGATTAGCCTTTTGCACATTTTTTACAGTTCATCATGTCATTTGAATTTGACAAATTCCACTGAATTAATAACATCATTCCCAATGAAAAAACACTTCTTTTAGTGGTAATAGTTAGTTACAAGCATTAAAAAGAAATGGTCTCTATGGACAATTAGGGTGGAGACTGGATCTAGGGCTAGAAAATGTTAATTTTAGTTTTTTTTCAACCTCATAAAAATGGAAATATAGTCTATTGGTTGGTAGAGAGCAGAAAGATTGCAAGCTTTGTAACTGCAGGGTTATTTGTTTACTCTCAAGACTCTAGAAGTGATTAACAGGAACACAAACACTGGTTTAATGAATGTTTACATTTAAAAAATCAACTTAAAACATGCCTTTAAACAGTAGGATACACTTTGCTCTGACGTGCTTTGCTTTCCATCTTTAACTATATGGTAACTATAAAGTCTAGCATATAATCAGTCATCTTCCCATAAAATAGGGGATTTTTTAATCAAAAGATTCAAAAAAGACTAAATAAGGCCTTGAATAGCTTTATTGAAATCTGTATAAATAAACATGCACATTTCAAATGTAAACTCAAGTGAACTCAAGTGCAGACAAAATTTTAACCTCTGTCATGCAGGAGGTTAGTTTACATTTTAAAAAAAGTAAAGAAAAAAGAAGAAAAGAAAAAAAAAAGAAAAAAAAGAAAAAAACACCCCCCTTTGCCCCCCAAAAATAAAAAATAAAAAACAAAACAAAAAAACAAAGCAGCTTTTAAAATACCAGGATGTAAAACCAGCTTTAATATCAAGGTATAAAGCAAAGCCATGATCAACATACCTCATTTATTTTTCCTGGTCAAATGCATTTCTTAAAACTTTTAAATGCTAACATAAATAAATAATTTACCAAAATGTGCACTCACAGAGTGAACTTTTATTTACAATACACAATTTATAATCTATTGTATTTGATTAGTTCAAGTGAAGAACATTATACTTTTTGCTTTAATAACAGTAGGACACAAAGCAATTTCTCAGGTAGTCGATATGTGAAAAGTGCCCCAGCATTTAGATTTTCTGTTAAAGGCAGTATTGTATGCCAATTTACAATACATTCTTTTCAACTAGATCAAAGGGAAAGCAGCAAATGAAAAATGTTTCAAATGTTCAAACATATTTTTGGCATCCTGGATCCTTAAATGTGGTGAACTGAAATCAAATTCATGATTATTTGTATGCTTTATATATTGTATAGGTTCTGACTCTGGAACATGCAAATGCCAATTCTCTTATATCAAGTTACCTTCTGAGAAAAGCTGTAAGGCTATGGTGAATTCCATCAGGAACACACAAAGAAAGTTAACAGACCTACCTTTAAAGCCAATTGTCCAACAATAATTTAAAGGCCAGTATATGAAAAAAATTTCTCATCCTAAGCTTGGTGTAATTATTACTATGGATAGAGAATACTATCAAGTCTGTTCTTATATTACAATAATTGGGAGAGCTAAAAGTTGCCAAATTACCAAAATATGGGGTAGAGAAAAACAGACAGCAAAATTTTAATTTGGGACCAACACCAGATTAAAAATACGCATTTTAATACTAAGCAAGTAAAAAATAATTTGAATGTCTAAGGAATAGATCCCAATAGCTGTAAAAAACACTGAACAATGACTTCAGATGGAGCATGAAATTTAGAACCTGTTTCCACAGTAGCAGTAAGATGATATTAATGATACTATAAAAGGAATTAACTTTTTCAATATTGTTTTTTTTTATTATCGTGATTTGGTTTTTTAATAGGCCCACACTGATTACCAGGGACAGTTTGAAAATTTGGTTTTCCAAGGATACTACTGCAGTATTTATTCCACATTGATACTGCATGTGGCAGCCTAATGCACATGAACTAGAGTATTCAAAAACTAAGTTCAGCCATAGTTTTCTTGCAGTATTATTAGAGCAAAAAATGACCAACATCCACAAATTTAACATTTGTCATCAATTAACTCACATCCAAAAAATTAAAGAAAACATAATTCATCAAAACAGCAGCAAACTTAAAAGGGATTTATTTGTGATTTCCTATATATATATTTAGCTTGTAAATACAAGACTGTAAATGTATTAAGAGACAATTTCTGTTAAAGTTTTCATTGTGTTTCACTTCAAGTACTGCACAAGTTAAAATCTGATAAAGGATTTACATTCGGTTATCTGAAACTCCCCATCTCAGACGTTTGTTTAATGTGGTGGATAACTTCATTTCAATTGATACCACCAGCAAGAAAGTCTCTCTTTTATGGCTTCTAGGACTTTCACTAGTTAGTGTGCATACAGTTTTCATTTTCTATATCATTGTCATTATCATTGCTATCTTCATCGCTTTCTAATGGGATGCCTGCGGCAGCTGAAGCACCTTTAGTTTCTCGGTCAAGAGGGAAAAAGCCAGTTCCGCTGAAAGTGTCTTGCCTCTGGTAGAAGAGGACATACGCTGCTTTGGACTGTTAAAACAAGCAAAGGCTGTTAAAAAGATCATGCTTCTCCAAGGTCACATTACATATATAATAGTAGGAATTTTTACCTGGCAGCCATTTTGGTGATAGGGCATACATCAAATATAAAAAACACACAAGTCAGATGGAAGTTACAAAAATTGATTAAACATAAGATTACTTCTACTTATAAAAACAGAATGGTCACTGGAATTTTAACCTTTTTATTCTCTTCTAAGTTAGTTGGACAGGTGAATAAATGCAACAATATAACAGATTAACCTAGTTACTCTAACATGGAAGAGAGTTCTATGCTTTCTTCCCTTCTGTCTCTAAGGAGCTTCTTTCTAATACTAATCACATCATTCCATGTTTGTGGTAGAGTCCAACTTCTGTCTTAAGGCTATTGTTCCATCAACCATCACTGTGTATCCTGAAGGAGTCCTTATTTATTGAACTTCTTGACATTAAAATATTCCTCAGTCAGAATGGTAGTTTAATGTTTATCATTTACTTTCCTGCACACTCAATTCACTATGACCTAAGTGCTGCCCCAAACATTTTAATGAAATAGTTTTACTTGGGTCAATAGTCTCCTATAAACAAATTAAATAAGTGCCTTTTTTAGTTCTTTTAGTCAATCTCTCTGTAGCATTTTATGCTCTACTACTACTCTTCCCTGCATATAGCCATTTTTAGCTTCTGTGATAAAACTTAGATTTTCTATCTTTATGGTTTCTTTTGACTTTTCTGTGGGCTCATTAAATCCTGTCCTTTAAAAGAAATTAAGTTCTGTCCTAAGCCCATCACTCTTTCTCAATCTGTATCTTCTCACTAGGTGGTGACTCATTCAACATATGGCTTCAACTGCTACCTAAGACTCAAGCTTATAACTTAACCTAGTTCTTACCTCTGAACTCTAATCCAATTAGTCCAAAGACCTAAGGAGTATTCCACATAGCTATCATACAGACACCTCAAACTTCAATGAAAATTTTCTTTCTTTAGTTCCTATTTTGGCAAATTGTAATTTTTCCCTCTTTGCACCTCTATTCTGTATTTGTATCTTCATTTATATCTAATCTTAATCAAATTCTTTTAACTCTATCTGAAATCTCATAATTCCATTCTGCCTTTATCTATACACTTACTACCACTAAAGTTGACATACACTATTATATTAGTTTCAGGTGGACAATATAGTAGATTTAGAAGCTTTTACTGCTTAAATTGCATGACAGCTTCCCTTCTGCTGGAGGCAGAATATGGCCTTTCTGCTTTTCTCAGTGCCTTTCAATCTATCTTCTATAGTGTTCTCAGACAGATGTTAAAATGCAAATTTAATAATGTCCTATTACTTAACAATCACCTAATGCTTCCCACAGCCTTAAAAATATTTTAAATAAAGATCTAAATAAAAGAAAGTCGCCCATCTTAATCCGGGTGATTAAGCTAAATTTTTGCCCCATATCCCTAACAAAAATATTTTCTTTCAATAATCTGAATTATTTGCTGTTTCCCTAAATGTCATGTTCTGTCATGCTTCCTTACTTTTGTAGGTACTGTTCTTTTTGCATAGAATACTTTGTTTCTTTTGTCTAATTTGCTCTTATTTGTATTTTCAGATTCAGGTTAAACACTACTTTCTCTAGGCAAACTTCCCTGCAGTGGTCCTGTCTCCTTTAACCCCAAAACATATAAGACAGCTGCCTCCTTAAATATTTATTTGAAGGCAAGATCAGAGCAGTGTTGTCAAAAAGACTTTGAAAAAGGATGTAAGCTATTTCAGGATTGAAAAGTGAGAGATATGACTTGAAATTAGAAGTCTAAGTATGAACGGAAAGTATAGTTAATTTAAGCATATACACATTTTAAAAAATATTAGAGTTCAAGTCTGTTCTCTTTTATAGCTATAAGCAATAGTACCCAATTTATATGTATATACATATATTACATATACATAAAAAACAAAACATTTGTTTTAGATAAGCAACAGTACATAATTTATATGTTTACACATATAGTACATATACATAAAAATAAAACATTTGTAGGGAAACAACTCAAAATTATGTCTCACCTGTTCATCCAATCACAGGTTAAGACCATGTCAAATAAATGGGCCCAGAATTTTATTAATTTACAAAGTTGAATAATTTAGGTTGAAGAATTTTAAAGTATTATACACTAGAACAAATGCTAGTCTCTGCTATCAAGAAATATATAATTTAAACTTAGAAAAAATGGTAAAGCAGTCAGCACTTTACACATCAACAGAAAACTTCTGTATAGAAAATATCACATGAGTAAATACTATATTTTTCAATCTTCATAATATTGTGATCAATAAATAAAACTTGCCGAAACCGGTTTGGCTCAATGGATAGAGCGTCGGCTTGGGGACTGAAAGGTCCCGGGTTCAATTCCGGTCAAGGGCATGTACCTTGGTTGCGGGCATATCCCCAGTGGGGGGTGTGCAAGAGGCAGCTGATCGATGACTCTCATCGATGCTTCTAGCTCTCTATCTCTCTCCCTTCCTCTCTGTACAAAATCAATAAAATATATTTAAATAAATAAATAAATAAAAAGTTTGCTTAAAAGAAAAATAAAAAAATAAATAAAACTTATAGAAAGGCAAAATTCATAGAAAAATAAGCTTTTGTCAAGCAAATCTTAACTTTCTTCTTAGAATATACAAGTTATCTTTTTATCAGTCAGTATCTGCTCTGATGGGAAGCAAAACAAATCCAATATTTGGCTCTGGCTGTAACTGATAAACTGATGCAAATGTGTCTAGATGTGGCTTCCTAATTTTTCTGCTACTTAGAAAATATTAAAGTAACAAAAACATGGTTAATTTAAAAAATATATATAAAATTTCTTTTACCTAATTATGTAATTTTGAGTTGAACTGTCATAAAGGATAAGATTTTACCTTTAAAATCGTAAGTATAAAAAGGCCCTTAAAGGACTTTTTCCCCCTACTTTAACATTCTGACTTTAAATAGTCTAGAAATGTCTGAGCCTATTTTCTAAAGAAAATTTTTTATTATAAAAAGAAGTTATTGCCGAAACCGGTTTGGTTCAGGGGATAGAGCGTTGGCCCACGGACTGAAAGGTCCCGGGTTTGATTCCGGTCAAGTCATGTACATTGGTTGCGGGCACATCCCCGGTGTGGGGTGTGCAGGAGGCAGCTGATCGATGTTTCTAATTCTCTATCCCTTTCCCTTCCTCTCTGTAAAAAAATCAATAATAGCCGGGACTGGTTTGGCTCAGTGGATAGAGCGTCCGTCGGCCTGCGGACTGAAAGGTCCCGGGTTCGATTCCGGTCAAGGGCATGTACCTTGGTTGCGGGCACATCCCCAGTAGGGGGTGTGCAAGAGGCAGCTGATCGATGATTCTCTCTCATTGATGTTTCTAACTCTCTGTCCCTCTCAATTCCTCTCTGTGTAAAATCAATAAAATATATTTTAAAAAAATCAATAATATAATTTTTTTAAAAAAAGTTATTATTTTCTTTAGAAAACTCCAATTTTCATGTTGAAAACTACCAGGAAAATTTTCACGTTGCAATTTGTACTTTTAAATTTGTTAGTGGGCAAATTTAGAAAACAAATTTTCAGTTAGGGGACAATTTTACATTTCTTTAAATCAGAGAAGTCTCTCTTAGCTATTAGAATTGCTAGAAGACAGACTACAGTATCCCATGGGTCTTTTAAAACAGTGGTTTTCTTGATTTTCAGAAAATAAAAGACATACTTACCACAATCTGGTCTTCAGATGCAGTTGAGACACTACTGTCATCAAAGTAGTACCATTTTCCATCATCTTTATTTTTTGCAAAAGCAGTATCTAATGAAAAAACATAACCACTTCTATAACTGAAATGATATATGGTTTCTTGGGGGGAATCGTTAAAACTTTAAAGTCATATGAGTGAGGAACAGCTATTAAAATCATATGATAATCATCTATGTAAGGCCTATCTGTTATACATTTAACTGATTTCATTGATTAAAAGTTTTTAGAATAATTTCCTAAAATCTACATGTCTATGATACTTTCCATAAGGTGAATTTATAACTTTTTTCATCTCAAGGACAGAATAGATTTATTATTTTTTAAAAATTCACAGAGTAACAATACTAATGATAAGAAATGGTAATTAGCACGTGTCATGTACCAGGCAGTGTGGCATGCACCTTTTATTCATTATTCATAAAGAAAGCATTGCCATTATTATTGTTTCAATTTCAGAGATGGAGAAAGGAAGACATCTTGCCCAACAGTGTAGCTGTTAGGTAGCAGAGTTAGGATTCAAAGTCGGGTCTGTCTCTGCCTTCAAGGTTTGAAACTTTAACTATAATTTAAATTTTCTATAACAAAATTTTCCAATACTACTAGCCCACTAATTTATAGTGGTTTTTACACTAGAATAATTTTCATTCTTTAATAAAAGAGCAAGCGAAAGGTAAAAAGTGACTAATTTGCACAAGTTTCAAAGTTTTGCTTCATTTTGAAGTTAAAAAAATTGTCCCCTTCCCCATTCCATGTTTTGTATAAACTACTTAATAAATGAGGAAACAAAGTTGCAAAATGTCCTGAAGACAGTTATCTACTGTCATAACATCTAAAAAGTGACACTTTATAGGCCATAACTTCTAAATAATTCTGCCATCACAAAACAAATGCATTGTTCTTCTAAGTGGAGCCTAATGTGGGCCATAAATTTGTCAATCTGAACTTACTACTGCTACCCTCAGAATGAAAAGAAACATTGTTAGGCTCAATAAAAAGACAAAAAGCTAACAATATGGTTTATAAGAGAGACAAATCCTACAAAAAGGCACACAGTTTTCAAATTAAATGATGGAAAGCTAAATTAACTTTTATAATTCTGAGAAAAACAAAAGAACCTCAAATCCTGGTAAAAGAAACAAAAGAGAAAGTAGAACTATCCATTATAAACATAAATACAATTAATAATGTAAAACAACACTCAGTAGAAGTCCCGACAAATTCCTCTCAAAAACATAAAAAACATAAAAAAATGACCAGAAATAGTAATAATCTGAATACATTTGGTAAGCATAAATTATTAGAGAAGAACTCTATGTTTGGATAGAAAAATACCTATTTTTCCAGCACATAAACATTAAGGAACAGATCACTTATTAAGCCACATCAAAGCCTTAATAAACCCTCCTATGGATTAATATAATACAGACAATGCCTGCAACAAAATAAAATTCAGAACCAAATAAGAGTTTTATAAAAAACCATGTATTTAGAAAAGCATATAGTTGAAAATATGACATTCCAAATTTAATGGGATACAGATAAAAGCAGTATTAAAAGGGAAATTTATAACTTGTATTATAGCCTTCAAGGGGGGAGGAGTGCAGGGGAAATGAAAAGCCAAACGCATTCAACTCAAAAAGCTGGAAAAGAACAACAGAGTAAACCCAAAGTAACAAGAAAAATGTACCAAAAGGAAGAGAAGAAATCAATACGATAAACACATAGATGTAATAGATAGGAAAATTTAATAAACTGTAAAGCTTAATTCTTTGAACAGAGTAAGACAGACTCGAGAAGACCAATTAAAAAAAGAAAAAAAAAAAAACAAAGGAAAAAAAGAATAAGAGTTATACACAACTCTTCTCAAATAAATTGGAAAACATGGGTATATTTTTGGAAAAACAGAAAATGCTACAATGTGCACTTTTTGGAAAAAGAAAACTAAATAGACTTCGCAAAGCATGGCAAAAATAAAAAGTTTAAGGCTGTAAAGCCCAGGTAAGAGAATTTTTACAGGTTAATTCTACTAGACTTACATGAATAGTTAATTTCTATACAATGCTCGCTGCTTCAGGAATCAGATAAAGTATCCCAGCTTGTTTTATTATGGTAGACATTTCATTTACACATTAATTATTACAGTGTGCAGTTCCACAGTGTAGTGGTTAGCACAAATTAATTGTAACAATCCTAAATAAAATTAGTTAACCAAATCCAACAGGCTATATTAAAAGTACTAAAAGATAAGTTGGATTTTCCAGGAATGCAAAGATGGTTCAATGAAAACTCTATCAACTAAAGTGTGTAGACTGGTACAACCATCCTGGAGAGCCATCTGGAAGTACTTGAATACTCATGACCCAACAATCTCACTTCTGGATATGTAGCTTAAAGAAATTCTCACAGAGGGGAGCATAAACAATAATGTTTATCAGTGTTATGGTGGTAGAATGTTAAAGGCAATTTGAATATCTATCATGAAGTAAATAGAGAGGTAAAATATGATACATGTAAGCTATGAGTGTTTAGGAGCAATGGACTACATGGACATTTCTTATGTTAAGAAAAAAAGATGAGACTTATAGCACAGTACCAATTATGGAATTTAATAATGATGCATGATCTATAGGAGCACATACATCAAACACATTAGAGAGGGAAGGGAAAGGAGAATGGGGAAGAATAGTAACCCTGAAAAGATAAGTATAAAAGTATGAACTGAGTATGAATAAATCAATCACCTATCTGATGTAAAAAAACACTCAAAAGCAGATCTGTTCACTAATCAATATTATTGAACAACTACTACATGTAAGACACACCTCATATTTCCCCCCTAAGGAATAATAAATATCTCAAGGAAAAAAAATCTGGAGTTATCAAACATCATGATTTTAGCAGAAAAGCAAACTGTCAACTTACAGTGTCCTCCTCCCATCCCTCCATAGTGGTTGGAAACAGCAATCAAATTATAGCGGCAAGGACCTGCATTTGGATTAATTAGGAATTCCGACATATCCAAGTCACTGTTTTAAAGATAGATCAAATTAGTCTTATGTTCTCCCTACATGTAATGAATTCTGTTCCCCTCTGTCAAGTGTTGTTTGACATATATTATCTCTAAAATAATTACTAGGAGACAAATAACTTTATAAAGCAAATCATGTATATACTCCTGAGATTTGAATGTTTAGGCAAAAATTTTCTTGGGGGTTGAGAATTTAAAAATTCTCCAGTGATCATTGTTATTCAGATTAATGTTTTTATGCTAATACATTTCATTTTTGGCAGTAGGAAAAGTATTCACTGCTATTTACTTACCATCGGAGTCCTTTTTGTTTTTTGTATTTTTAAAGTCATTTGAAGAAATGAATTATTTAAAGAAAAATAAAGGGATAGCAAAAAACAACTTTCTTGGAAATATTATAATAATTTTAATATATCTAACCCCCAACATTTATTCTACATTTCCTGGTTCTGATAACTTGTATATCCCAAATGGTCAACATTCTGTGAGATGTAATCAGTTATTTATTATCTGCCAATCACGAAACTGAAATGTGTGTTACAGCTTACCCATTACTTCTAGTTACACTTTTTGTATGCGCCTCATTGAAAAACAATAATGATTCTAAACTTCTTTCTCTAATGGGTTCTAGATTATCATTACTTCTGGTTATGTTTGTACTTATATAGTCAAAATGCCATACTCTTGAAAACTTTGATGGATTATAATTTTGTAAAAGAGAAAATTACCATTTTTTTGTTCTATTATTATAATTGCAAAACATTTTCAATTTTATTTATTGTTATTATTTTTAATCCTCACCCGAGAATATGTATCCATTGATTTTTGAGAAAGAGGAAGAAAGAAGTGAGGGAGACGAGAGGTAGAGAAAGACAAGAGTGGGGAAGAGAAAGAAGGAGGGGTAGAGAGACAGAGAGAGAGAAAGAGAGGGAGAGAGATGAAGAGAGAAGAAAGACAGACAGACATTGATGTGAGAAACATTGATTGGTTGCTTCCTGTGCACTGTGTTTGCAACTGCTAACTGGGTATGAACCTGAAAACTGGATATGTGCCTTGATAAGGAATCAAACCTGAGACCTTTCAGTGAATGAGATGATGCTCCAACCAGCTGAACCACATCAGCCAGGGTGACATTTTAAATTTATAATCACCAATTAGAATAAGCAATCCACAGAATGTTTTTAATACTCTATTATTTATTTCCTTCCAATCATCTTTATATACTTGCCTTAAACATTTGTCTAGTAATTAACTATATCAAGTAAATTTGGTGCAGAAATATCATGGAATGCATAAAAATACTATCAATGTTCTTTAGCAAAATGGAAAAGTAAGAAGTTCTTTGTTGCATAACTTTGTTTGATAAAGTCCTTCCTGAACTACATAAATGAGATATTATATTCCCCTTTTGTCCTTCTGAATTCTTAATTATATTCAGTGAAAGCTTAAAAAGAGAGGACTACAAAGATGCTATATCTCCAAACCACATCATACTTTTCCACGAATATGATATCATACTTTGAACAATATAATAAGAAAACTGAAGGTGGTTGACCCAATAACACTACTGTATTATCCTTCTAAACAATTTCATTATTGTTTTTATATATTATTTAATCTTTTAAAAAAAAGGATATTTAGGAATAATTGATGATTGATTCCAGGAAAACAAAATCACCAAGGTCACATGAGTATCTTAGATTTATAAACAGGGACAATGAGTCCATAATAATGTAATACAGAATGAGTTTTATTTTATTTTTCTTTCTAAATATATTTTTTTGTTCTCTGAAAAAATCTCTAAAGTAGGAATAAAAATTGTTATTGTTATGAACTGTTAGAACTACTCGAAAATACTCTAAAAAACTGAGACTGTGTCCAGTGCTACCTGATGCTTAAAAAAGTTAGAGCTGTCTGATGTTTATGAAGCATAATCAAAACTTACGTGATAGGAAAATCAACTAAGGTATCCAACTTGTCTCTCATGTATCGACTATAAGAAAATCGCTTGAGATGTACCACAAGTACTGGAGGCAGGGACCATAAATCCAATTTCTTTGTGGCTTGCTGATGTTCTTTACAATTTGGGCAATACCTAAAAATGAAGGGAAACACTTAAAGCTTGATAGAGGCAATTAAAACAATATATATTTAAAAGATTCAATTTTTTTTTTGTGAGCAGTTACTGTATGCCTAATATACACCAGACTAAATTCCCATTTTTATTTTTATATTCAATACATATTCCAAATGGATTTATCTACTATGAACTAATATGTAAATAAGTATTCAAATAAATGATGAAGGCTAGGTTATTTACATTTCATTATGTCAACTCTGCTGAGACAGAGGTATTAGAAAAATCTAAAAATTTCTGGGCTATAATGAAATTAATAATACCACAAAACATATTACAGATTTTTCTAAAACAGTTTCTCTCAAAATGGCAGCACTGCTAAAAGTTCTCAAGAAAAAAATAACTATTATGAAAAATATAATAATGGAATTAAAGCTTAACAATATAATATTTTTAAAGATATTTCCATACCTCTTAATAAAATAATGTAATATAAATAACTGCTTATTTAAAATCTCAAAGGGAATTTAGTTATCACCTTTCTAACTTGATGTATAAAACTTAAAAAATTAGAAACAACTATTTAACTTTGTTTCTTACCAGGGATCTTCAGCACCTAGCTTTTCTTTTGTTGTAAAAAGCTCAATACAATCTTTTAATTTCACAAAGGGTTTTTTAGGCGGTTTATATTCCACACTTTCATGTTTTTCAAAATCCTAAAGAGAAGTATGTCTTGAGTTAAGAGAACAAATGAGACAAAACTCATTTTAGTGATACCATATTACTATGAATAGTAATGAAAAACTCGCAAACTTCCTCAAAAGAATCATAAAGCTTATTTCAGCTGAGATTTACACCACACTTCTACATAAGTTCTATATACACACCTAAAAACAATTAAGTATAAATAGAAAGCGTGTTTAAAATCAATAAATATTTTCTAGTATATAACCAACCAATTTTATACTGGCAAAATAAATACATTTGGTAGAAGCAAAAGAATGCAACAAAACAGTGTGATCAAGATGGAAAATATAAAAAAGTAAGAGTGATGACTTACCTCAGCGGCATTTTCATCGAAATATCTTTTTTTCAAATCAGGATCCCAATCCAAAGCAAGAAAAGATCTTTCTAAGGTAGAAAACATATAAATATATATATACTTTTAAATTTAATGTCTTAATGATAAAATCAATGTGTTTTAATGTTAAGACTATAGGAGAATAAACATCATTTTTACATTGATTAGGTGATCAGGGCAAATCACTGTTTCTAAGTCATTATAGTATTTTAGGAATTAAAAAACCAAAACAAAACTTAAGCATAAGTTCAACCTCTATTTAATAAACATTAATATTTATTTTAGCATTAGAGGACTGGTGAACGAAATTCAGGCACGGGTGTGTGTGTGTGTGTGTGTGTGTGTTTTCTTTAGCCCAGTCTGTGCCCTCAGGTATCTCTGTTGCAATCGGGATGCTATATGCACCGATGACCATACTTTTCATACAGATGAAAGGCATCTTGCTGTTGTATGGGCAGCTACATATTTTTGCTCTGATTATAAAAAGTATTATAGTACATAACATGATCCTTCTGAGGCAGTAGTACCATTTCCCCATCTTATGGGTAGAAAAACTGAAGCAGAGAGAAGTTAAGTAATTGGCTTTGTCACAAAGTTATAAGTGTCAGAATCAGGGCTGACCACAAAATGTGTAAGCCAGAGTCCATGCATGTCATTGCTGCATCATCCTGTTTTTTCATGTCAAAGTAGCCTTACCAGGTTTTAATTTTTAAATTTAAGAGACCGTTCCCAATATATAGGGTAGGATCCCTAGGCCTGGCTGGCAATCAGGGCAGATCTATGGGGCGACTGGTGGCGGTGTGTGTGTGTGTGTGTGGTTCCTTGCTGGCACCTGCCTTGGCTGGAAGCCTGGCACTGCCCACTTGCTGGACCCGCCCCTCGCCACCACTGGTCACCTCTCTCTGTGGTAGATTTGCATATTAGGGTTTTATTATATAAGATACTTAGAAATTAAGGCTTTTCATTTAAGATTTTAGATAGGTAAGTAAATATCAAAATTAATGTGTTGAATTTTATAGTTTCCATCTAAAAAAAATAACATTCTTTTTGCTAAAGTTTATTATTCAAGCCATTGTTTCACAAATACTTACCGTCTAGCCTAAGTTGCCTATCATCAAATCTTATATGCCTAGTATCATCTTTGATGTAGTTGGTATCAGTATTGCCTAAGTTGTTAAACTGGAATGTAAACAATCGTTTTTTGTGTCCTGTGAGTTGACCTTTGCAAGTTTCTTCGGTACATAATCCATTTTCAGAATCATTATCTCCTCCAACTGAATCTTCAGACTGACTATTTTCATTCTCAGAGGGAAGTTCTTGATCTTGGCTTGATTCATCATCTGGCTCATCAGTTTCCATTTCACCTAATTTTAGATATTAGAAATCTTTAAATAAATTCAATGTTGCATTTAAAAATTATTAACACTAACATTATGTTTCCTAGGCTTGCTGATATCTTTTAGTTCCTTAATCCCCATCCTCTTGACTTTTCTGAGGCAATAATCCAAGTGAAGAGTTTTCACAATTTAGTAGGAAAGTCTTACTTGGTGAGCCTTCTTCATGTATACCATTTGGGCCATTCCCATTAATATTTTGGTCCTTACAGCAATGTAGGGATCCTTCACTGTCTTCAGTTTCAGTAGATATTTTGACATATCGGCTTAAATAAAATCAGAAATTCAAACAAGTTCAGTCCAATAAAGGTAAAAACTTAAACGTTTTCTATTCCAATAAAATAAAACTTTTAAAGGCAATAACTGGAATTCAACTCAAGATAAAGTTCATATGTGCAACTGATTAATCATTTGTTTTGGCTGTCTTCATAAAAAGTTAATTTGTTCTTCTTGGGTTTTAACATATTATTATATGTTAAAAGTGTGTGGTAAATAATTTCTCCACTTAAAAATTCTCAGTTAGGTTAAGTATATATATTATTGCTAAGATCATTTATAGATGTGTAACATGATCTTTATGTATGGGTTATGAGACCACAATGATTAAAATAAGTATTTAAGAATACTAAATATGTCAGCAATAAAGGACAAAAAAGAGGGATCAAATGACATTCTTGATTACCTTAAAATTCAATTCAAGGTTTTTGGAAGACAGAGAGTGTTTGCCTTACAATACTACCAACCATGACAGTTTATCCTTTTAAATAAAACTATTTATTTGTATGAGTTCTTGAATTAGCAGTGTGTATAAAGAGATGAAACATCTAACACTCGTTATGATTGTAGAGTGTATATACATGATACATTTTTATTATTTTTTTCCAACTATTAACATTTGGTGAAAATGGCTAAAAGAATTCATGCTTTTTGGGTGTGAAATTACCTCAGTAATGTTTTACGTGAACAAGAAACTGGATTAGGCTATACTTTGATTTTTAAATTGTTACCTAGCTAAACAAACTTAGAGATAATACAGACTTATCAAATGTATTATGCACCTTTACCTTCTCTAGCTATTTTATCTTCCTAATGCAGAATTATCTGAGACTTACCACATTCTCAAAAGTAGGAGATTATAGAGTTTATCTTCAGTATTGTTTCGTGGTACAGCCATAAGAAAAGGCTGACCAAAAAGTGAAGAACCAGTATGGTGGGTATAACTTGAGTGTCTAAACTTTTCTCGGAGGCAAACAGGAATAACCACATGTTCTGTATCTTCTGTCCTATTAATGTTAATTTCAAACCTATAAAGACAAAGCTGAAAATAAAATCTGAAAACTTTTATTACTCTTTTGAATGTTGTCTCAAATGATATTTTGCAAAATGAATTTTATACTTACACATAAATATCATCCCGCTCCATAATACTACTAAGATTTTCATCCATTGTGAATATTCTGTGAAATCTATGATTGTATATATCAGTAACTATCATCTAAAAAAAAAAAAAAAATTTCTATTGAGCTGGTTTTACAACCCTGCAAAAATAAACTCCAACTAACATTCTTCAAACCTAGAACCATCTTACCTTATCTGCAGGTACTCCTGATAAAACAGACAATGCTGTACAAAGATCAAGTATGTTTCCAATTTTGGGGACAATCACTTTGTACTAAGAAACAAGAAAAATTTTGATGAAGTTATTACTTTGCAAAAAATATTCAATAGATAAGACCAATGTCATATTTGCTTCCTCACATTCTCTTGGCATTTGGCTCACAGTATCTCCAATATATCATCATCCTAGGTGACAATATCCATATGATATCTTAAAACTCTTAATAGGGTACTGTCTAACTATAATTACTTGTCAAACTGGAAACTCATTCTTGGCCTATTCTGAATTTTTCCCCAGTTTAACTAGCTCCCTAATTTCAGACCCTTCCATCCAGACTTTACATGATTCCTCATTTCAACTCCTTTATTTCAAAACCTTTAGTTATCTGTTGCCATTTTATTCATATTTAAAAAAAAAATCTTCTTCCTCTTCTTACAGAATGCCCTTCAGCATGTCATATAATACTAGTCTGGAAGTAATGAACTCATTTAGCTTTTTCTTGTCTGTGAAGCTCTCTATCTAACCTTCAGTTTTAAATGATAGCTTTGCTGGGTACAGTAAACTTGATGGTAGGTCCTTGCTATTCACCCCTTTGTCAGCTGTGAGCATAGTTTTATGGTAATTGAGACTTGTTGGTGTCAGTGGGAGGAATTGACCTCCAGGCCAACTGGCTATGAGGACCAGCTGTGACTACAGTGGGAGAGCTGCTGTGCAGGAGACACCCCTCTAGAGCAAGACTTGCTTCAGTGGGGCTTTGGTGCTCACTGAGTCTGCCCCTTCAGAGTGTGGCTTATAGATGTGTAGAGTTGTAATCTGCTATGGACTGACACTGAACACTGGCTCTTGGGTTGCCAAGGAGGTACAAAGTCAGCCACTGTCTGGGGCCACCCACCAGGAGTTACAGAGAGATCTGCAGACTCCTCCTCTTTGTATCAGGTTTGGAAGTACGCAGATGAGGCCCAGATATGAAGCAAGGAAGGCTGGTGTTGGTTCAAGATTGGGGCATTTTATTGATAGGTTTGGGGCCCAGCTGCAGCTTGTTTGAGAGATTTTAGCCTGAGCAAGGACAGACTATTCATATGTAAAAGCTGCTGCACGCAGCTTGGGTGGGATTATAAATTGGATGAGGCAGGGTCTTAGAGAATCACCAGGTCGGAGCAAACAGAAATGGCTGCAACCAGGAAGGTCCCAGCAGAGGAACAATGAACCCTGGGAGCACCTCGTCTGGGAGAAAGCTGCCCTCAAGTTCCTGCTCGATGCTAGACAATCCAGTTCCTCCTCAGCCTGGTGCTGGAGCTCAGAGGAAGTGGGACCTTGTAAGTTCAGTTCATGGTGCCAGCCTTTTAAGAGGAACAGTTAGGTCTCCAGCAGCCTCAGTGTCACTGAGCCCCAATTAGCACTGTTTTACAGTCCATAGGGACTTCCCCCCCCCCCCCCCCCCGATCTGGGATGCTGGAGTAAAAGTCTGGTGTGGGGTTGGGTCCACTTGCTCCTTCAGGTGGCCTCCTCAGAGATTATCTCCCTTCTGATGAAAAAAGCAGCACACATGGGTGCTGGACCAGCTCATTCCTCGCTTCTGCACCTCATAGCACTCTCAGTGTACTTTCTTTTTTACTTCTTTAGTTGTAGGTCTTCCATTCAGCCAACTTTCCAGCAGTTCTGAATAAAGATTGTTCTGTATTTTAGTTGTAACTTTTGATGTAGTTGTGGGAGGGAACAAGTACAGGAGTTTACCTATGCTGCCATCTTCCCCCTCTCCTATACTACTACTACTTATTTTTTTTTTTCTACTTCCCTGGTTACACTTTCCTTTAATGTCCTTTGATAAGAAAAAGCCTTTGAGAATTTTGTTTTTATATGACAAATAATGATACTTTGCACATCCCTATGCTTTCAAGTTTATAAAAAGTTGTACTAATTTTTAAAATATTTAGCTTATAAAATCTTACATAAACAAACTTATTATTAGATTGTTCTTGAGGCATAAGAACTTAAATACTAATTTTTAATAAAAATAGTAAATGCAAAAAAAAAATTACTTACTTGCATAGGTTTGGTAAGTGGATCCATTCTAACTAAATAAACTTCCAAGGTACGTTCTTTTTTCATGGGCAATGGAAGTGTCAAGTAACAAAAAGGATCAAATGTTACTGAAATCTTATCACACTTAGGACAAACTAGAGTTGATTTGAAAAGGCCATGAAATATATCTACTATGATAGAATCATTTCTTTTTAAATGGTTTTCCCAGGCTTCTTCAGCAACTACCTATAAGAAAAACAAACACATATTACACAGAGATATTATATTATTAAAAGAATGGTGATAATACCATAATTAAATTTACCTTATCTGCCCTTCCATCAGCATCTTTTAATTGTATATATGGTTTTTTCCTAATTCTATTCAAATCCTCATGTAGTCCATCTAACAGGAAAGCTAATAGTTCTTGACAGTCCTGCTGCTGGTATCCAGAGAACTGTGGTGCAAAACGTCCTACCTGTGTCTGTAAGAAAAGTGAAATTATAAAATCAGTTCTAGGGACAAGATTGATTAAAAAAATACATAGCTAATTTTTATTATTCAAGGATTTCTATTTGTAAATTCATCAACTTGCAAAAATTTATTTAAACCCAAATCATCTATGGACACTTTTTTTTTTAATCATTTGCAAATATGATAATTACACATAGAAATACATAGCTAATATTCTTTACCTATTTATGGTGCTGTGTCCCTTTGCAAGGATACAAACCATTGTAGTAGGTATGAGAACCAATTTTGTCCTTTAGGAGTGGGGATAACCCTCATTGAAAATGTATCTACTATACTAACCTTAAAAGCTCTTGGTGTGACATAGCTAAATTTTCCAGACCACATTTGCTTGATCAATTCAGCATAAGATTTAGCTATTTCACCTCTCATTCCTAAGGGATTGTCAAAATTCAGTTCTTCTTGATATTTGTCATTGAGGAAATACTCAGTAAGCGGAGGTGTGTTGCTCAAACACTGCAAAGAATAAAATATATTCTCAAGTTAAAGTGACCACACGTTAAACATATTAAACATGAAGAAAGAAACAAATTGATTTGCCACAACATATAGAGAAAATTTTAAATGATGGCCTCTTGCACCAATAAATAACTGGTTAAATAAACACTCAAAATATGCACTCAAATATTCATTTCCCAAATTTCAAATCGATTACTTGTAATAAGTGATAATGCTAATATTTGTTGCTGTTAAATCTGCATTAATTTTAACCACAGCAAACTACCTTGTTAACTGGGAGGGTAGCTCAGACTTTTCCTTCCTTCTTTTACTTGATTGGTAGATATTATGGCTTGTCTACTCATCCCAGGCACCTGCAAATTAGCCTGAGTAGGTAAAAACTGAGATAGAGTGCAAGCACAAAATTAACTTAAAATAGTATTTACTGATTTCATTGTCAATTCCTTATCATGAAAGAGCAGGCTTTAAATTTTTCATTTGATCAGACATTTTTAACTGGAATAATACTGATTAAATGAGTCTGAAAAAAAAAAGGCTTTAGTTATGTGAACTCTGGTTAAGTGTATTCTTACTTCTTCAAACTCTTCTTCAATATCGTAACAATCAAATTTTCTTCTATGGCAAGGATAAAAATATGAACAAGTTACTTCTCTAACTATTTTCTATTTTGAATTAAATAGTCCAGGATTTAAAATAAAAAGTACAATTTTCCCACAATATTTTATCTCAAGATGGAATAATTTTAAGCTGATAGTACCATATAATATGAACCCACTATAACTTTATTGATTAGAGGCCTAGAGTCATTAAGAATATATAATGAATGACATAGACATAAAGTCATATAGGTAACTTTTTTTTTCTGAAGGAAGATATTTTTCTTTTCTTTCTTTTTAAAAATATATTTTATTGATATTTTACAGAGAGGAAAGGAGAGAGAGAGCTAGAAACGTTGATGAGAGAGAAACATCGACCAGCTGTCTCCTGCACACCCCCTACCGGGGATGTGCCCGCAACCAATGTACATGCCCCTGACCGGAATCAAACCTGGGACCTTTCAGTCTGCAGACCGACGCTCTACCACTGAGCCAAACCGGTTTCGGCAGGAAGATATTTTTCTTGGAGGAAAGTGGCAAAGTACTTTAAGTGAAGCTGGTGGTATGTAAAGTAGTGGAAACCCACTCTTTAAAAAAAATTTAAAAAAATATATATATTATTGATTTTTTACAGAGAGGGAATGGGAGAGAGTTAGATACATCGATGAGAGAAAAATATCAATCAGCTGTCTCCTGCACCCCTCTGCCCCACTAGGGATGTGCCCACAACCAAGGTACATGCTCTTGACCAGAATGGAACCCGGGACCCTTGAGTCCACAGGCCGACGCTCTATCCACTGAGCCAACTGGCTAGGGCTAAAAATCCACTCTTATGAGAACTTAGATTTATATGAATAGAAATAAAAGTTTTTCAAAGCTTGCTCACCATCCATTTGGGTTAACTTAAATAGTCTTGATAGCTATGAAAGGTCCAGACTACTGGATTCATGGTAATAACTTGGATGCTATAATCTATGACTATATATCTGTACTGTTTGGCTAAAACCCCAAAATTAGTCATATTCAATAAAAAAATAAGTTATGATATTCTACTTTGTGGTTTCAATTATAAATCAAATTATGTTTACTTAAGTAACCATAAAAATAAAGTTAATACTACCAAATTGGTAGTCTAGCCCCCATGTCAAGGCAAAAGGAGTGACTGCCTATACAATCATGGAATTTGTTATATTAATTCTTAGGCAATGAAAACCATACAGTTAAAAAATATTTGGGGTTGGCTATATAAGCTTTAGAATCATTAATAAGCATTTTCAGCAGATTTTTTTTATATGAGCAAAAAGATAGAGGTAGGTTACAATACAAGAGGCAATTAGGGAAAGGATCCCTTTCTATCTTTCTGCTTAACTCCTTTTAAATCTCAACCTTACACACCTTCTGAGTTTCATTTTCTCCTTTCCTTTTGATGGTCCTTTTTTTTTTTTTTAAATATATTTTATTGATTTTGTACAGAGAGGAAGGGAGAGAGATAGTTAGAAACACCGATGAGAGAGAGTCATCAATCAGCTGCCTCTTGCACACCCCCTCCTGGGGATATGCCCGCAACCAAGGTACATGCCCTTGACTGGAATCGAACCCGGGTCCCTTTAGTCCCCAAGCTGAGGCTCTATCCATTGAGCCAAACTGGTTTCGGCTTGATGGTCCTTTTAATAATAAACCAAGCACTGGAGTTAGGGTGAGGCAACCAAGATTATACCAGAGGTATACAGAGCAAAGCCATCACTTAGCATCATCTGAGTTAGTATAAATAGAATCAACACTAGTCATTGAGGCAAAGGGGAAGTCAGACAACATTTCTAGAAATTATCAATTATTTTTCAATTCCTTATATCAATTATTTTTCAATTCCTTATATCTGATCAGGGTTGTACTAAGAATATTCCACTACTGTCTCTAGTACAGTTATACAAAGAACCTAATTTATGGCTTTCTGAAACACCTCAAATAACCAAGTTGTACAAACATAAATTTTTGAATATTGTTTGTACTTAATTATTCACATATATCCTTATCTTCCAAACATAACTGAAATTTTCTTAGTTTACTAATAGCATCAGAGTGATCTTCTATACATGTTCCTTGCTATACATTCTTTAATAGCAACTTCAGATTAAAGTCTTAGATCTCTAAAATAGTCTATCTTTTACCCACCCATGTAGCCTCATCCCTTACCAATACCTTTTTTTAAAAAACTCCATCCCAGCCTTACTTGATTACTTGTGGTTCTGTGACTTCCTTGAACTCTCTGTAAATTTGCAACATTACTCCAGATATGTAAAATGTTCCTTCTTTGCCTCACTTCTAATAACCATCAAGATTCAAAAATCATGCCCAACTGGATTAAGCATTGACCTATCAACTAGGAGGTCACGGTTCAATTCTCAGGTAGGGCACATGTCTGGGTTGTGGGCTCGATGCCCAGTGTGGGGAATGCAGGAGGCAAGCAATCAATGATTCTGTCTCATCACTGATGTTTCTTTCTCTCCCTCTCCTTTTCTCTCTGAAATTAATAAAAGTATATTTTTAAAAAAGATTCAGGAATCCTGCCTGGAAAGCCTTCCCTGACTTCCTTACATTGTTTCCTCATAGATGTTTCTACAGTGCTTAGCACTCACTTTTATTACTTCACCTATTTTATGACATATTGTACCTTTAATTTTTAGTTTGTCTGTCTTGCCGAATGGATTGAGACCTCCATGAAAGGAGGAATCATGATACACTTCATATCTCCAGCACTGAGCACCCATGTCACTTGGCACTTAGCATGCCTACAATAAACGTATGCTTTAATAAAAATGATTTTGCCTAGCAGCCAGTATGGCTCAATGGTTGAACTTTGACCCATGAATCAGGAGGTCACAGTTTGATTCCCAGTCAGAGTACAGGCCCAGGTTGCACGCTTGATCCCCAGTTCAAGAGGCAGCCAATCAATGATTCTGTCTATCATTGATGTCTCTCTCTCTCTCTCTCTCTCCCTTTCTTTCTCTGAAATTAATAAAAAATACTTAAAAGGTTTTGCTTGTTTACTAATGTATTTATGCTCTTAAAAAACCCCCCCACAAAAAACTGCTTTCTTTCACTGTTTGGCACAGAGTACTCAAATTTTTGTTGAAAAAAAAAAAAAATTACTAAGTGAGGCAAAAATATATTTGCTTAGAATAAATACCAAATTTCTCCAAACACTTGTACTTGAATACTAAAATCAAAAGAAGAACCACCACCTATTACACCCCTTTGTCTGATTTTCATTTAGTTCACTATTTGCAGTGTGTCTCTGAATGGATTTTTAAAAAGTCCCTGACACATTTTCATAGTGACACATGCCAGTTTGTAACTGAATATCATTCAATGTCAACAAATTAAATAGCAAACACAGTTTTTAAGATAACTGCCTGTCAAGATATCATAACCAATATATTTTGGATAAACCTTATATTTAAACCATTAAGTCCTAAATGGCTCCCCAAAACATACTATTCATTGAACATAATATTTTAAGAAACTCACAAGCTAGATTTTCTAAAAATTTGTATAAACACATATATAAATACAGAAATTCAACAGTCAGTTTAATTGTTCTACTAATGCACATAATAGTTTAAAAACTAAACTGATGTAGACTTTTCTACCTCATCCTGAAAATAGCATGCTTTCTACTTGAAAATAACATTATTCTAGGAGTCACTATATTCTTGACATAGTATAAAAACCAATTAAAATATTAAAAGTTCTTATAACTCCTGATAAAAATTTCAAGGCATAACTGTAATAGAGGTAAAACAATTAAAATACTTTCATGCTTCAGATGATATCAGTATTAAATGCCATCACTCTGAAGAAAAAAGACAGTTTCTTAAAGTTAGTCAGGCAGCTTGATTTGTGATTTATGCAACTTATTCAATATGAGGCTATTTTATTTTTTTAAAATATATTTTATTGATTTTGTACAGAGAGGAAGAGAGAGATAGAGAGCTAGAAACATCGATGAGGGAGAAACATCGACCAGCTGCCTCTTGCACACCCCCTACCGGGGATGTGCCCGCAACCAATGTACATGCTCCTGACCGGAATCAAACCTGGGACCTTTCAGTACGCAGACCGATGCTCTACCACTGAGCCAAACCGGTTTCGGCAATTTGAGGCTATTTTAGAAAAATAAACATCTTTGACAAATATAAGAAAATTTGATACATGGACTGGCACCAGTTAATACATTTTAAGAATCATTTTCATTAGTTCAACAATAAAAATCAAAACCAGAGTTTTGAAGCATCTCTCTCAAAAGTTCTACTACAAAAAAAAAAAAAAAAAAAAAAAAAAAATAAAATAAAAAATCACTTTCCTATCTGGTTAGGACTGTTCCTAAAACAATTCCTTTCT